CTGACGACACCTTTGTCATTGGCACTACCGGCTTCTTAGAGAAAGAAGAAGACGAAACAAGGAAAACGGGCTACAAAACGAAGCCACGAACCCAGTTTGATACTGGTTCTTCTGGCGACTTTAACAGATGCCGCCTAGAATTTCAGACTGAGAGCATGACAGCGACTCAAAAAGGACAAGCTGACAAGCTCGTCCTGATTGACATGAGTGATAAGGACTACAAGCAGAGATTCGTTGAACAACGAGCAAGAGGCGCCTACATTGCCTCTATCTGTCAACCAGAAGCCGCATTCGACTATTCTATCGCAGCCCAAGCCTAAGAACCCTCTGACAAGGACGTCGAGATGCTAAACAAACGCATTCAGTGGCAACTAGACAATAAGTCACGTGGACTTCGATTCGTGACGATTGATCTGTCTACCGCTAAACTCTTTGTGTTCGTTGATGGATCATTCGCCAATAACAAGGACCTATCATCACAGATCGGATTTGTCATTATCCTCGGGAGTGAATCATCTGGCAATGGTGAGACATTCACATTTGATCTGACCGGAAACATTGTTCATTGGTCCTCTACCAAATGCAAGAGAGTCACACGGAGCGTTCTAGCTTCTGAAGTATATGGCATGGTTGCTGGCTATGATTACGGATACGTGATCCACCGTACACTGGCAACTATCTGCCAACGCCTTGAAGTACCTACGATCCCCCTGATCCTCTGCACAGACTCGTACTCGTTATACCAGTGCCTTGTCAAGCTCGGCACTACCAATGAGAAGCGTCTGATGATCGACGTCATGGCGCTCAGGCAGTCATACAAGAATCATGAGATCACAGAAATCCGATGGATCCATGGTGAAGACAACCCTGCTGACTCGATGACCAAGTCATCTCCAAATAAAGCCCTTCATGGTCTTGTTTCTGATAACAAGACAACGGTTCGAGTTGAAGGCTGGGTTCAACGTTGAGATTACCTGGATGGATGGTTTGATGGAATCGCAATCATAAAAGAAAGAATATCCTGTGTTGGATCCATGCGATTCCAGCCTGCAAACCACCTATACCAGGACCCACATGTATGATTAGATAAGTGATTAGATACCGGATTGCGAGGTCACTTAGCCAGACCTTCAGGTCCAGCTAGACCTCCCAATCCAACCATCAGCAACATCATGACCTTGACCCCATACTCGAGTATTATGATTGATCGTTCAAGCCTGTTCCAACAATAATAAACTTATTTTCTTTTTATATGAGGCTATATATAAAGTCTTAGTTTTAAGTTTAGTTTTAACTAGTAAATATCTGAATATAAGATTTCCATAACAGCGAATTAAATAATAAAACTTATAATAAGTCGGGTTTAAGCGAACATATTTTACTTCATCTTATATAAGCATTAAAATATAATAAGTTTAAATACCGACCCTTTATACGTTTATAACAATATCCTATTAAATAAAATATTTTCTTACTACTTAGTTCACCTACCGTATTAGGTTTCTTTTCATTTATAAGAAGGTGTTTTTCTCTTAGTTTTACCACTTTTTAGTGGTTAAGTTATTTAAACTTAAACTTGATTTTTAATATAGATTTTTGGATACGTACGGAGACTTATGTGGGGCCAGTGTAGCTGGGCAGCTGTATGTATATATGTAGTATAAGACCTAGCCTAGCACGCCCGCGCGCCCTTTTGGAGGCCCAGGGCCGCCGCTATGCGGCAGGCCCCCTGGCGTTAAAAGTTACAACAATAACAACTTCCCTACCTGTGGATTGTCGCGCATTCCTCCCCTCGGATGGTGAGCAGACAACGCTACAGGGTAAGAGCAAGTGGGGTTGGAGATCAGTCCAGCCGTGGGCGGTTGGCTCGAATTCGATCTCTTCAGATCAAACAATTGGGGAATATGTACTGAATTGCGTCCCGTATTGTATCCAAAAGGTCCGCCACAATAAGCTCTTCGAGGCATTGCTCGGAGGTACTGCGGCTCATTCGGGTCTACTCCACGAAGCGCTCCACCTGTGGACAGCAACACGTCTCCTTATGAGGGGATGGGAAGCAACCGAGTCGGTGCTAGTTACTGATCCAGACAGTCCATATTTCGGGTCGAAGCGTTATGGAATACTAGATCTGGAACGATGGCTTGGCCAACTCGCCAGATTACGACAGATATAGCAGATACGGCACACATGAGAGGCGGGGCTGCCAGGACAGAGGGGCTTTGACTGAATGATTGAATGCCTGAATGCCTAAATACCTGAATGCCTGAATGGCTGAATACCCAACATCACGCTCTACCCTTTCCCTTGCCCTTGCCCTTTGCATCGTCCTCCAAGGCCCAGGTGTAGTACCACTGACCAGATGTGGCTTGAAATGCCTAACACTTATGTCTTTCATTTTTGTACTAGATGGACCGAGACTCCCAGAGATCAGGGCTAACGTATTGTTTGGCATTGAGGTAGTATCGGTTGTTTCCCTTGTCCTCCACGTAGATGCGGTTCTGGTCTGCAATAAGCTCCAAAGGACCTGTTGCTGCAGGCCTCCTCTAGCCTCGCTTTTGAAAGTAGAGCCTCTTATTAAAACAAGCAAGTGCACACATATCCAGATTGAAAACCCCTATCGTAATAGGTAACAAGTTAAAAGATAAGTATCCAGTAAAATCATAATAGGGGTTGAGGACAAATAAGGACTGGTAAATTATAAGCCATAACAGTTTATCGGATGCTATTTACGCGACCGTTACGAGTAATATATCGTCCCTTTTTTTACGAAACTATTAGTATACTTCCTACTTAGAGAAGCTAGATCCCATGTGGATATTGCAAGTCCTTTCTTTCTTGCAACGACTAGTTACTTAGCTGTATAAAGTATGAAGCCGTGTCTTGCTACTATATCCGAGGCTAGCATATATAATAGGCGCTTCGTTAACCCCACTCTATATCTTAACAACTATAGGCAGGGCAAGTGACTTACTTATATGGACTTTTAGTCTTAGATAAAGTTAACTAGAGGTTTAGTGCCCGCCGTTATATGTTAGTCTACTCGCTATTAGTGAAAGATAACTCGTTATATAATATCTACTAACGCTAGCGCGTTATTAACGGTTAGTTAACGGTAGTAGTATATAAGCGCGAGACTATCTAGCTTGCCTCCTTATATCTGCGGCCGCTTAACTTAAGCATGATCTGATTAAATAACTACTACTATATTTTATAAGCGAAAAAACCGGATGTAAGGACTTAATATTTCTTCGTAATAGGTTCGATCAATATATATAGCTATTTGGTAATAGCCTTAATATTTCGTATTATCGTATCGATATCGAGGTCTTTATCGCCCGGGATATCTTAAATAATATCGAGCCAGTTAATCAAAGCTTTATAGTTTTAAAACTAACGCTTTAAATCCTAAGTGTCATAGTTCAGGGACCAATATGGGGTCAGAATTGGGATGAATTAATTGCGTGATTGTCTATCGGGTCTAGGGACCAAATCTTGTACTAAATACACACTGAAGTACAAAGATTGGCCCATCCATTGATCTGACAGTAAATAGAGCCTTGTCTGTTACCTATGAAAGCCACCACTTTCAGTACTCTCACCCCTTCACTCCTTTGACCACTAATTCTGGCCAGATCCAGCTGCCTGACAGCTGGCACCACACCTGTACGACACCTGTATCCCACACTAAGGTTAAAAAAGGCCGATATACCCGTATATATCGGACTTGTCAAAATCTTAGGCGCTAGATTAATATTAGAATGTTATTATTATCGTAATTACTATAGATATCGCCTTACCTCAAGGCAACGACCAGGAGGCTTTTTTAAAGCTATTATAGATTATATTGCTTTACCTATATGGCATATTAAGAGATGTTGGTCTTTAAGTATCGATTTCAGCTCTATAACGTGGCAACCCGCATACCAGCCGGACGGAAGTCGGTAGACGATTAGAAGCTTGCCATTATTAGGATGTTGGAGCGTATACATTGTAATAGATTGGGGCCTGTAGGACTGGAAGTTTAATTTACAGTGAAGGTCTGATTGATGGGTGCCCGTATGATATGCTGGTCGAGTGGATGAAGCTGCGCCAGCTATGTGGATCCAGGGTTCCCGTTACCGGCCACAGCACCCGGCAGCAGGTGCCTGGAGACGCAGCTACCGACGGCCTGTACTTTCCTAGATAAGTACCTCCTCAGCTCAGATGCACTCATGTGCTAGCCGGTAAATCCAGTATGTGGGGCAGGGGTCCTGCCCACGTCAGGCAGATCACTCAGCCTTGCCGACGCCTATTTTCTCCCACTCACAAATCCGCATCACCACAGTCGACTCCTTCATATCCACACCCACACCCAATCGCTCAGACACGTCCAGACACGTCTCGACACCTACATTTATCACTGCGCCTGCCAATACAGCAGTGCTCGCTTCTCTTCATATCCTCTCTGATTGCGTAGTATGGACACGGCATGTAGCTCACGGTAGTTGCGTGTTCTCCTTGTCTCTCATCAGCCTCCCTGTTATACTTTCCGGGGCCGACGTTGTCAGATATTGGGCACAGCAGGCGGGCTGAAGCTACACATGTAGGTACCTAGGTACCTATGCAAGCTCCGGCCCCACGTTGGTTAAGCATGTTGTTGTACCACAACAGCGGGCAGGGGGAGGACTCCGACTCCGTGAGACCGACATGTATTATCCGGGCCCGGTCTGCATTGCTTGCCTAACAATGCCTGACAGGTGGGCAAGTACTCTGTCGCTTCCCGTCAGTTTTGAGCCAATCGCCAGAGTGATTGTGTATTCTGTGTGTATGAAGAGTCCTTGTGCGACCGTATCAGGTTTGTGCCACAGGGGGGCTGGATCGGGACGGAACAACTAGGTTCCGTTGTTTACCTATCAAGGTGCCCTCTGGGCTCACCGTTAATCCAACACAGCCCTCCCACTCTTCGCATTCTTCAACTGTCAACTCTCTCAGTCTATTTCATTTCCATTGAAAACCTCGCCATGCCCTCCGTTGCCAGTGATCCCGCGTTTCTCTTAGTCTTCACAGGTATCATTACACTAACCTACTTGGCTGCCCGCAAAATGTTCGGCCATGACCCTCGCGAGCCGCCACTGGCCCCGCAGTCGCTTCCTAATGTCGGACAGATGGTGGGACTGTCGCGAAGCAAGTTCAACTACTATGTCGACCTCAGGTATGCCCGAACCCGCCAAACCCGCCTTCCCCACATGGCGATAGTGATAAAGTAACTTAAGTCCAATCCAGCCAGAAGACGGGCTCTCCTATCTTCACCATGGCCCTCCCAGGCCAGAAGATGTACGTGGTAACGAAACCGGAGCTCATCTAGACGGTTCAGAAGCAGCACAAGACCCTCGCATTCCCGCCTATCGAGGCCAAGTTCGCGTCCAAGGTCTGTGGGCAAGTCTCGAGGCCCAGGATATCCTGGCCAAGAATGTCAATGACGACGAGGGCGATTTTGGCCTCTCGATGGAGTCTTACACCGCCATGCGGGATGCCCTCAAGCCCGGCCCGCAGCTCGACGACATGAACCGCGTCATGATCAATGAAATCGCAATGTCACTTGACTTATTGCAGCCGGCCAAGGGAGAGTCCCGCAGGGTGGGGATGTACGCCTGGCTAAGGGACGCCATCACGAGGGCTACAACCAGGTCTGTGTACAGTCCGGTGAATCCTTATGAAGACAAGGCTATTGCCGACGCTTTCTGGTGAGTGGTGCCTAATATAAGAGTCCAGCTCCAGCATTGTATCATGAAGCTTCTCCTCTAACCTTACTCTGGTTTGGGGAATTCGAAAGCAGTCTTATGTCGATCTTGGTCAGGTTCCTTCCTTCTCTCACTGCTCGAAAGCCTGTCGCGGCTCGAAGTAAGGTTGCCAAGGCCTTCGAAGCATACTACAGAGCTGGTGGTGTAGAGAAGGCATCAGCTCTCGCCCAAAATCGGTATCAAGCAGAGATACACAACAACGTTCCGCTGGAAGATATTGCCCGCTACGAAGTCGGAGGTTCGATTGCCATCTTGGTAAATACTGCACCCTCAGCGTTCTGGACCCTGCTTCTACTCAACTCCCACCCTGGTCTCCGTGATGATATCAGGAAAGAGGTTGATGCCTGTACCACAACAGCCATTGAGAACGGATCTACTGTCAAAGCTCTTGATATAACTACCCTCAAGGAGAGCTGTCCGCTGTTGCTCTCCTACCAAGAAGTCCTTCGCCATCGTTCTATGGGGACTTCCGTGCGCGAGGTCATGGAAGATACCTATCTCGACCGATAGCTGCTAAAGAATGGCGCTATGTTACAGATGCCAAGCCGTATCATACATCAGGATAATAACCTCTGGGGCTCCAATGTCGCCGACTTCAACCCCCGCAGGTTCCTGCCTGAAGAGAAGCAAAACCGTCCGCGGATGTCTGCTTCCGCACGTTTGGTAGCGGCAAGACACTCTGTCCCGGACGGCACTTCGCGACTAACGAGATACTCGCTGTCGTTGCCGTCTTCGTCCACGATTGGACACTTTCTCCACCCGCTGTCGCTACATCGACTCCCACGGCAGATGCGTCGTCCAGTCATTCAGGGCTGGCTGGCTGACGTCGATAGCTCCGCGCCCATCCACCACCTCTTTGCGATTCCGAGAAACGGCCCCTCAACCCCCCGATCTTGCCGACACATACGGGAAGAAAGAAATTAGAATCCGTCGATATAAAGCTTTTACGGAAGCGAACTCTCGCAGCAGTTGCTGGCCCCTCATTACAGCCACCGTCCCAACAATATCTCCCACCTAAGAAGCGCCACTGAGTCTCTATCGACGACGAAAACAAGCTCCCATCGTTGCCAGCCCCCCAGAAGATATCTCTTAGCGCAATGGATGGTAATGCGACGCGATTTAACCGATCAGCCCCAGAAGGAAGAAACCGCGCCCGCCGCCTTCCCACGACAACACCGACGATGATGTCTTTGGTGCGGCACCAGACCCGGTTCGGGTTGATAATCTACAGGCCACCCCGAGGCCATCGCGGAGCATCAGTTCGTGATCGCAGTATCTGACGCAGCTCAACGAGATGACATCCCTACCCCCATCAACGGCCTCCCACTCGTCCCGCACGTCGCGCACACGGTCTACAAGCCTCATCAGGCGAGCCAGCGATCTCCTAAAACTTAAGCAAGGCCGTACACTGGATACAGGTCAACATGAAAGATCTCTCCAAACGAGTGGCAGAGACCAAGCAGCCCTCAGCCGTGTCACTCTTTAACAAAACCCGACGGATTGCCCGGTCTGGCAAAGGATACCTGCCGGCGCAGCTACAGCAGCCTCTCGAGGACAAGCTGGGGCTGTCGGATGACGACGCCGACAAGTTCGTCACTCGGGATCCCCTGCTGCTGGATGAGGCGACATTAGCGCGGCGCAAGGTCAAGGCACGCCGTCTTTTGGGCAAAGCAGCGACAGATGCGGACCTGTCGTCGTCCGTCCTGGTCGGAGAGCCCCTAGAAGCAGAACTGGAACGGCTGTAGGGGATAGTCGATCGGACTGGCGCCTTCAAGATGGCACCACGCGCACATGGCGATCCCTTGACCCTTTACCAAGGCGCTGGCGCAGCCCGGCCAACAGCACGAGGCTGGGTGCTTGTGGCATAATAGCATACCCAGGCCGCACAGGCGGCGTGCGACAACAAGCCCAGAAAGCTATCTTTGCGGCTCTGGACATCCTAGATCCCCAAGTAATGTTGATTGTAAATCCTCATTCTATATCTCGCAATACTGATTGCAGCCTTATTGGTACGCTCTTTGTCTATAAAAGATCATCCAGCCTACACTGACTTTGCCGGTGGCCTATTGAGCCACAATTTATGCACTGATCCGTCCTTTTCCTAAATTCACGGACGCGATTGACTTCATGCCTAGATGCCACGCAACGTTCATGGTAATGATCTTTTTGAGCATACCTGAAGCACCACAATAAGTCGTTGAACGGACAAACCCTTTGTCGGTGGTCTTTAAGCCACAATTCCAACATCGACCTGAGCTTATCCTATTACCGCGGCCTCGGCGCACTCTTAATTCACCTGCATAACAAGCCTTAAGGTTATGACCGTCCGTATCGCACCTGATGCATTGTAGTGGGTTGACTAGCCCATATGGGCGGGTTAACTGACGTGATGTGTTAGCAACGAATTGCAAGCTCGTAATCTACTTACGCTGCGCATCTGACTGCCTGGCTATTTCCTGACGCAGTCGATGCCTTGCTTTGTCTCTTCCCTCTCCGTAGAGAGGCGGCATGGAGACATCAAAGATTCCCAGCAAACAGTAAGCTTCGTCTTCTTCACGTGTGGTCGCTCGAAGTTCTGACCATCGCCATCGTTCTTTAATGCTAAACTCGGACAGCGCACGATGCCCGCAGAGGGCATCAATTGCAATTCCAGCTGTTTTGGCAATTTTTTTCGCTTCAGTCGCCTTATCGGAGAGGAGCTGGCCTCGTAAAGAGAAGAACTCGACAGTGCGTGGAGCGACAAGCTCTTGCATAAGTCTCGTGTTATTGGTTCAAAGGGGTTCGAATTGGTATGCCGCGGACCCAAAAGGGGCGGCCCCTGAAGGAGCCAAAACGGTGAGATTCCGGAGCGGACATATGTAAAGCGTACAAACGTATTTTACGTTTTAAGCTTGCCGTTCTGTGGATATCATTACTTCGGCATCAGATATAGCTTGGCGTACCTGACGCTATTCCAGGTTAGGATGCCCCGGCTGCCCACCATCGTCTTGGTGGCTCGTGCCCTGGTATGCACTAGCGTTACAATGTGACATAGCCGGTAACCGCGTAACCAGACTAGCACCGACTTCAGTCGACCTGATAGGCCGAAAAACCGAAGGATCATGTTCTCCTGCATGTTATATGCAGTTGGGTCACGACAACTAGGAATCGGAATACATGTCCAACCAGGATTCAATATCCACTTTCGGTGATTCCGAGCCATCAAGCAAGAATGGTAGTATCCAGAGCCTGCAGCTGCGCAGAACATTCGCTGCCCAGTGAAATATAAGCCCAGTCCGTACCGCCTTCGGTCGGTGTACACGCCTCCTCCAGCAAGTCTGAGCACCTCTCACCACCCGCTGTTGGGAAACAGAACAACAATAATAAACAGACGCCCAGATAGACGAGGTCATTCAGAAATACGTTGATTCGTTGCAAAAATGACAACGCGCAATGCTTCGGAAGCGAAAACCAGACACAAGTTCACTGAGGACGACTGCCGTCTTGAATTCCGGCAGGGTATAGAGCCAGCAAAGTGGCCAGAGCCCCATAAGGTGACATTTCAACACGTCAATGAGCTTGGTTTCACTCGCTTCGACAAGTGGAAAGCAGAAGTGCACGCAAACTGGAGAAAATTTCCATAGAAATTAGATACGAGAAGACAGGCAGAAGAAATAGTTGAGAAGGCCAAGCAATGTCTCCGAGAAGGCAAAAACGAACGAGAGTGGCGGAGTGAAATTGAGCCGTCGGTTTTTGCAAGGATGGCCAAAGATGTATCATGGCAAGTCCTCGACATATATTAAATTTTACTTTTAGGCTTCGCATCGAACAAACTGCTAATCATTGTTCTCACTAGTCGTTGGTACGGGTCGAGACTGTGGAGAGCAGATGTAGAAGCTATGGTAGACGCAAAAGAGGAGTTTGCAGCGCTTCTCGAGCATGGTAAGAAAAGCAGAAGACACTGCGAATGTCCGACAGAAGGCCTATTTGCGTAAGAGACCTGAGACGATTTTTTCTTTTTGTTTGGAACCCGAGCTAACGACAACTACAGACGCGAGCTACGCCTAAGCTCAATGTTCTCGTATCGAGAAGAGGGAATCGTGAGCCACGACTTGGCAACCAGAGCTAAGCTAAAGAAAAAATTCGAAAAGCCCGATAAGGTTTATGGCCTTCGTCAAGTTGGAACCTTGCTGAAACTACTACGCGCTAAAGTTGGCGATGATGAGTCTTGCACCCTCGAAGAGAGACTCAACCCTACCCTGTTTCCGCACGACTTGAAGCCTCAGGTGTTTCCATTTTTATTGCTTGAAGCCAAGTCGCAGGATCATGCATCGTTCGAACGAATCGACAACCAGACGGGATTGATGATACACAAGTGCCTTGCCATTCAGCAAAGGCTGCGGGATGCGACGTCGTCAGTCAGCCAGTGGATAGCAGGTCCACTCTGCTGGTATATTTCAAGCATCGGCGCGAGTTGGAGGATCGCTGCAGGGTATGCAGTAGAAAGCAGTCGCATCGACTTTGTAAGTTACCCGCATGCTCTTCTATCGCACGCTAATCAACGTGTGAAGGAAGTAGCCAATCTTTGGGTCGGTCGAATTGATGAGTCGAACGGGGCCTTGCAGCTTTTGCTAATTGCTGACTACATCTGCGACTGGGCGCGGAATGTGCATCGCGAAGCAATGATAAGAAGCTTACATAAGCTGGCCACTGCTTCGTCTCTGAACGATGTCGCGTCGCTTCAGTCATTTGACAGGCTTACAGTCGATTCGTACCATGACAAGAGGGATACCCATCATTCTCAGCCACTGGGGGCTCTCGGTGAGGACGCCAGTCAGTTGAAGATGCTGAGAAAGCTGGAAAAAATGAACTCATGGGAATCGATAGAGTCGGAGGTGCCGCTCGAAGACCCGTTCAGACGATTTGACTCACACTTTGGCGCCGTCCGAAACGCCGAGCGCATCCACACTCGATTCATGGGCCTTTACATCACACGGACAAATTTACCACTTCTGTGTAACTGCACAGACTCGGATAGAGAATCCAAGGCGATTATGAACGACATTTCCAAACATCTGGAAACCGAAGAGCCGCTTATTATGGATCAGTCGAGCTTGGTCGACCTGGAGAAAGCCTGGACCGGCCACAATCGCACTATCCATGAAGACGAGTATACTTTTCACGAAGACTCAGAAGAAGAATTTCACGTGCTTCTGACCTTCTCATCGTTCGTGGATTCGGATTGGGACCTCAACAGAGAGCTCTGCTTCCTTGCCATAAGCCGACCTGCGAAGGAAATCTTATTGCAAAGGACTCGCAGGCGTAGAATTACACCAGCACCAGCCGATGGAACTAGAACCCCACCAGATGCCATCGCTGAAATACTGAGACGTCATCGTCAGTGTTCCGTCCGACAGTCATTAACCGCGTGTCTGTACCGCTCATCAACTTGCCCTCAAACTCAAAGCAAATCCCAGACCGCCAATCCTGATACCTACGAAGGTGTCATATACGAGGATACGGAACACTATTATTTATTACATCATCGCATGGGTGGCGGGTCACGAGATCTTGTTTGGTCGTTGTACCTTCGTCATCGAGTTGGTCGTAACGAGCCTTCCACGCCACTCCTTTGGGTATCCAACAGCCTTGATCTGCTGGGCTCGGAATGCCATGCTTTATCTTCGCCCTGGTCAACTTACAACATTGGAGAAGAAGATTTAGCAGTTCTCGCTCGTTCTTCCACGGTCTCACTTGCTGTACAGTCCGCGTTTTGCATTTTCGTTATAGATAGAGCCCAGACGCCTCACATGCTGCAGCTCGTTCGCAGTCGGAAACGGTCTTTCAGGTACTACTACGTCACACAAAAGATAGGACTCGCAGATGGCCAAACGATCACGTGGAATACGACCCATGATATCGAGAAAAGGGGGGCAGCTCAAGAAGGTGCCGGAATAATTGCTTACATGGGAGAAAAGCTCTTATATGATCAAGACACAAGTTCAGAAGAGTTGTCTGACGCCGAAGATGAAGATTATGAACCAACCAGGGGCCAGGACAGTGATGGGGACAGCTCTGAGTATTCTGTCTTGTACGGCACCACTGAATTTAGCGAGGACGAGCGGGGAGAAGATGAGGGGTGGGAAGACGAGGAGGATGAAGACTAGTGGGGCAAAATCGAGATTTGTGAGGGGCATGACAATGTTTAATCCCACCCGTGGTGAATGAATGGGTCCCACAGGGTAAAAAAGAGTTATGGAGCCCTTTGGCTCCGAGAAAAAGGGAGTCCAAGCTCGTGAATGATTATTCTGTGTCCACTGGTTACCCTATACATCTTTACTTAGTCTGTTAGGCACTTCCTGTCAAGGACCACACTACATACACGTAATCCACGCGTTGATACATATACACGTACATATACACATACATCCATTACATGACCCAAGGTCATACCGCCGCAACAACGGGGATGTCCTCGTGAGCGGGACTGACTGTACTTATTATCTTGATACCTCCACAACCCTGCGATGCAGAGGCTCTGGGAGGCGTGGTTTGCACTACGGAGGAGCAATCCCCCACGTTAAATACAAAACAAAACAAACAAACAAACAAAACAAAACAAACATCCATTACACGAAGACGGACCCTCTTGGCACACTACATACATGTCAAGCTCTTGTGTATGTATATGTATGTATTTGCGTGTATCTGAGGTAGATATGTAGGTAGTATAAGAAGCAATGTCAAGTAGTAAAAAGTTATGGTGATGATGGTTTCTGGAGGAGTGAGCTCGGACCACCGAGAGATATTCCGACGTGGCACTCGGTACTTAGTTTTTACTCCGACTATTACGTGAAATCTTAGTTTCAAAGCATCGCGTCACCACAACGCGCGCGTCTGCCATTATCACCTGCCGTCAGTGCGATACTGCCCACTAACTAACTATTCGACGCGACTTCGAGATGAGTCCGACCCGGTCCAGCCAATGTCTGTAGAATGCGAAAGACTATTTTCGGCTGCTGGCCAGATGATTACACCTCTGCGTACGCGGCTGGATGCGCATGATTGATTGATTGATTGTATTTATCGTGGGTGCAGTCCCTCCATAGGGCAAACCACGCCGCCCAGAGCCATTGCATCGCAAGGTTATAAAGGTGTCAGTCTAGATACATTCAGAACCACGCACGAGCCTATCCTCGCTGTAGCGGTACCAACCTGGAGTGACCAGATGGTTTTAGTCAATATCCAAGCACGATTCCGTCAGAAAAACCTCCTGTCCAGTGACAAAGCGACCCAGTGAACCTCAGTTTTCTGGTGTACATATCGTTCCAGTAGCCGTTCGATATATGTCGTATTGGTGGGTGAAGTAGGTGTTTGTTATCTGCTAGCGAGGGAAACTATAAGGGGAAAAACCTCACAAGAGTGGGTGTTATGGAGACAAGCTGTTTGGCTATCGGGTTCTGCGATAAGGGGCCTCTCCACTGTCGTGTGCTGGTTGTCGACTCGCACAAGCCGGGTCAGAAGGGGGCCATAGCAGGATTTGAACCCACTTGTTCTCGTCGCCCACCGCACAAACGAGAACACAACCAGGCGCATTTGACCATTGCGCCATACGGCCGGCTGGATGCGCATATAATTGATATGTGCCAGGTCCTGCGATCTTGGCTTCGGGCAGGCGTTGTCACAGAGCTGGATTATCTCCTAGTTTCGCCTGACGAAGAGCAGGAAGCGCTGAAAACAGCCCGAATGGGCGACGAGGAGTTCGGGAAGTGGGCAACGCGGTGGCTCACAGACGATTCCGACAGCTTGCTGGAGGTAGAGGCTCGATGGGACATGTAAACGGGTACTGAGAGCCTCAACGCCACTACGTCATCTTCATCATGTACATGCGTGTACATACATACATCGAAGACCTCCGTTGATACACTACACGAGGGTGTTGCTGACTAAAATACGCGTACATACCCTATGGGCCAATATGTACGTGTATGTATGTAGTGTGGTCCGTGCAATTACTACGATGCACCGGATACACCTCTGCAATCGCTACCTTGTATGACCACGGCTATTGCGAAAGAAGTACGCACTGCCGCCGAAAGGCATTCAGTAAGAAAGGCTGGACATGTTGTACTTGTTTCTCCCCTGTCGCGAGCGGGCGTCACAACACCAATTGTGGTAACGTTAGGTGCCGTCACAAAAACTGCCATCATTGCACATTGGCGCCTCCGGAGGAATTTGTAAGTGTCATCTACCCGTCTCACGTAGCGGCGCTAATGGGTACCAGCAGGAAGTGGATTATACATATGGCTAGGGGTGATTGGTCGTTCCGATGGAACTGGCAGATGCGTGAAGGGGCCGGGGAGTTGTCCTGCACATTATAAGGCTCACTTGCTCCCTCGGCTGAATGCTGGATCTCATGTTCTCATTACTTCGGATCCCACAGGGCTACACCTCTCTACCGTCCATCCTCATACACCTAGTCATCATTTATCCTTCAATTCATATTCGCTCTCATCCTGGGAATCAATCATACCATGCGCGATTTCTATCTAGAGCAGATCACGTGGGACATAGAATATAATCCGGACAGTAATATCACTCTCTACATTCTCCATAAGGGTGCTGCATTCCGCATCTGCTATGTCGCAGAGGCCCTCAAGGCCTCGCCTCTTGCTTTGGAGCAGCACCGCGAGTGTTCCCGCATACTGCACCAGGGCGATGGCGACCCAGATGCAATTCGTCCAGTGGCAGAGCGTCTCACAAAGCCTTTCGAGGAACTCATGAACCGGCTGCTTCCAAGCCCAGCGACAGAGTTTCAGTTGACCGAGTCGCTGCATGGTTATCTGTACCCGCCGTCATTCGAACTCGAAGCGAGAGCAGCTGAAAGCAGTGAAGGTGTTGTTCAGGCACACTTTCTGGGGGCCGTCTCGCGACAGAAGGGCGGTGCTTGCGGACTTGTTGTCGGTTTCCTCCAACCTCATCTGTCCTCGCTACTTGCCTTGAACGTGAAGACATACTCATCCGGTCAGGTCCAGGTTCTGGCCTATCACGTCACACCGCGCGCGCGTCGAGCTCCATCCAAAGTCTTGGTCGGCAATACTGTGTTCTTCTTCAAACTTTTCATGCGACCACATGATCATGGACGTCACGAACTGCAGTCATTCGTCAAGATACTGGCGGATGCTGAGGCAAGCCGCCCCCTGCTTTCCGAGGCGCGCATCTGCCGCCTACATGGCTTGCTTATCGACGAAGATGATGACGTACTTCAACACTACGATATCGACGACAGCGAAGAATACCGCCCAGGCGTGCAACGACTCGTTGGGCTGCTCTTTACATATATCGACAATAAAGGCACTCTGAGGCATATAGCACCGTGGTCTGACTGCTCCAACGAGGATCGGTCTTGCTGGTCCAGGCAAATACACAACACTGTCACAAGTCTGCACGCCGCCGGTGTGGTGTGGGGAGATGCCAAGCCAGAGAATGTGTTGATTGACCAGGAAGACAATGCCTGCCTGATTGATTTTGGTGGTAGTTACACGCCCGGTTGGGTCGACAGGGAAAAACAGGAAACAGCAGAAGGAGACTGGCAAGGTGTCAAGAGAATAGATGAGTGGCTTGCGAGGTGGTCCCACCAGCCTATTACCAGCCGATTGATGAGCAGGTAACTGCAACAAGGGGGAACAACACTTGAGGTGATCAGGCACTAGAATCATTTCGTGCGTGGGTTTCCCATTCTCCCATTCCGGCTGGCTCCGAGCCCTACCAACGACCAGCTACGCATCATCGCCGCCTTTAGAGCCCGAGGACGGGAGAATCAAAGAACCCACGGGCACTTCTGGGGGAAACCATACGACTGGGGCAAAAGACATTTTGCCTGCTGCAAGCGGAGGGAGGACGCTGGACCAGGCAAATTACATGTGTTGGCGCTTCTGCCACCACCGAGCAGTTTCAGAAACATGCAGGACGGTACGACACCCGGCTTGCCAGCTATTCTGCGTGCCGCTGAGGCGCACGGTCTGGAGGCACGAGACCACCTCCTCCAGCCAGCGCTTCGCTCGTCCATGCCTGGACGGGGATGTAATCACCAACTAGATTGCACCTAATAAGAGTGTAGTATATATACGGCTGTGCTTTTAGCAGAAGCATTTTGGGGGTTGGATCCGGAATTATCACATCGGACATTCTGCCGCCCCCTGTTGAATGGCGCGCAAGCCACCGTGGCGTTCAGGGAGGTGGCAGTGCACCAACAAGGCCAATAGGGCATTTTTAGGCCACTTAGCCCACAGCAGAATTCTCACACAGACACAACAATAAGACTGATTACACCAGAATATATGTTTTCACCCATCTAAAAGTCCCTACGCACTGTTTGACACCCCCCTGGCCGGAAGTATGAGCAAATCGACTTCATGTTCCCAACCCAGCAGATTGAAAGACGGTATCGATCTTGAAATCAATTTATACTTTGCCGCAATCTTGAGCAAATTAACGTGGGCAATCGATGATCTAAAACAACACCTCCAATAATACCAAAACCGGCACCTTGCTGGCGCTGTAGACGTGGAGGGTGAGATAAGATGACCCTATCCCGCAGGTAAATTCGGTGGAGCCAAGAATGCCATACTCAAGCAATTTGGTACTTGCGACGCTGAATAGAGTCGGATTGATGTATAGTTTATGCGTTTGGGGTCGTTCTATACGCTCAAGTTCACGTTCCAAGTACAAGAAGCGACATAGGGGTTTACGTTGTCCCGCCTGTAGGACGCGAACCGCGCACCGTTAACGAATTTAGCTGAATGACCGCTACCCGCAGGGACCACTGCACTAGCGTAAAATCGGAATATGCACGATTTCGATTGTGTGCTAGTCACCCCATGTCTCTACGTACTACTAACACAGGGAACCTATGCCATGCCGGACGCCACCAGGCAATGCCACAAAAGCCGAGACACGCTGCACGCATGTGGCCTTGAGCGTCCATCCAAATACCGGGGTGGTGTGACGGTGAGATGGCAAATACTCAATAGTCAGAGCATAAACTCCAATAAATAAGATCAAAATATATAGCTAACCTTTGATATCTCTCTTTCCTATACTTGATGGTACTTTACACAGAAGTTCTCGTGCAAAAACCGCTGCATTACCAGCCGCGTATGACCGCCAAGTGTTATCCTTATGCGAGTCAGCATAGTCGGAAATCCCTCGGATTACCAAACAGTTTCTGTGTGCATTGATACCGGCCGCTTCCATCTCGATGCACAATGCCCCATCGCATTGTTTGTTTGTTTGTTTGTTTGTTTTGTATTTAACGTGGGGGGTTGCTCCTCCGTACTGCAAACCACGCCTCCCAGAGCCTCTGCATCGTAGGGTTGTAGAAGTCTCAAGATAATAAGTATAGTCAGTCCTGCTCATGGGCCCATCCCCGCTGTTGCGGCGGTATGACCTTGGGGTCATCCATCTGGTCCTTCAAGAACAGTTATCTATTAGAGATAGATTGATGAAAAGAACTTGCTCTTCTCAAAAAATCTTGCCTATTCCGCGCTCCTCTCCCCCAAGTATTGTAGACAGGCTGTCCTATGCGAGTACCTGGGCAGCAGTCGGTTTTCCCCAAGCCTCTTATAAAAAAGAATGTATTGTGGTGTTTTCTTCTCACCGCAGCTGCAGTGATCATTCGAGTCTGTATACCCAAAACATTCGTGATATCTAGCAAAGTCGCCATGTCCAGATCTGGCCGCTAGAAATCTGTGTAAAGTATTCCTTTTAAAAGATATAAGGTCCCTTTTAGTTACTGTATATGAGTATACTTCTTAATATCTAGATTTTAATTGGTCTTTTTATTATTAATTGAATTATTTCTTACCCTTTCTTTTGAGATCTCTCTTGACCCAAGAGATTATAGGAAGGTTGGTCATGTGTGTTTCTAGCATGGTACCCTCTTTTGCTAGTGTGCCGGCAGCTTCATTACCATCAATATCTCTGTATCCAGAAATCCACTTGACGGTCACTCCAGGAGTGTGTGCTGTGGCAAGTTCTTGGAATCGTAGAAAAGTGTTCTGTGATGTCTCGGGTGGGGTCCCATTGAGCCCATCTACCACTGATATGTTGTTCAGGCAGATATATAGCCATTTTCTACGTCTAATTGCCCTGGCTGCTGCGAGACCTTAGAGAACGCCATGGACTTCAGCATCTACTACTTCTGCTTGTAGAAGTCTGCCCCTTCCCCGGTATACTTCTTGTGTAGTGCCGCCTTTCCTGATGGTATAACCCCATCCAGTGCGGATTGTGCCTTGGTCATCCAACTGTGATCCATCTGAGTAGATGACAAGGTCAGTGTTCACGTTTCTCTCTTGTAACCATTGCTTGAAGAGCTCTGTTTCTTTGTCTTTGTCTTTGCGGATTGGGCGCTTCTTCCATGATGGCCTGGTAAGTATTGGTCTCTGGAAGTCAGGGACTAGCTGGAAGCTCCTTTGTAGCCTTGTTGGATCCTTGCGAGCTTGTATTTGGAGCCTGCCAACCAGAGGGTGTCTCTGATCTATTCGACCTAGTCGGAGGCCGTGACGTCGTCTTATTGTCTCTGCAAGAACTCCTGCTGGGGGAATCTGCGATTCAAAGTGTAAGATATGTCCAGGGTGTGTTTTCCAGACTGGCAAGATAGCCCTGATCGCCGTTCGTAGTACGGCATCTATTGTTCCAAGAAGCCCCTTAATGCGACATGCTGATGTCTCACCTAAGCTCCCAGCTTTCTCGATTCCTGGGTACCAGGCCTCCAGGCCATGTGTGAGAATAGGAATAACACAAGCTTTCACAGCCCTCTTGGTTGACTTTACTGGAAGTCCTTTGACTGTGTTGCATAGTCCTCGAAGGTGATTTACTACCCTACTAGCTTTCTTGGCCCAGTAAGAAACATGGTCTTTGAAGTTTAGTTTCCTATCCAGAAGGACACCTAGCCATCGCATGGAATGCTTAGCTGTTTTGTTCATTATTCCGTGGCAAACTGGGGGATTGTCTGAGTTCTTTTTGCGTGAGAAGTGCATGATCTCGGTTTTGTCGGGATCAAATTCAATAGCATTATTATGTCCCCATTGGTTGAGTAAATGAAGGTTTTCAGAAGCCTCTGTAGCTGTTTCTTCAAGGTTCTTTCCAATGCAGAGTGTTGCTAGGTCATCTGCATATCCAAAGCGTCTTCTTTTCATGCCAAGTCGGGCACAGATTGGCTCTGTATACAGCATGTAGAGGATTGGAGAGACTGGTGAGCCTTGTGGGAGCCCACAAGTGAGAGCTTTTATATCGGTCACAGTACCTTCAAACCGAACTCTTGCGGACCGCTCGGACATGAACGACTGGACCCATCTTATGAGAAAGCCTGGCCAGCCCTGTTCTCTCATGCGAACCACCAGCCGTCCCATTAGGGCAGCATCAAAGGCCCCTTTCACATCTGATGTGACTACCGTTGCAACGAGGCCTTGGTCAAGGGCCTGCTCAATATCGTGTATGAGTGCAGCTACCAGGTCAGTGGCAGAGCGCTTTGGTAGAGCTCCAAAATGTTGTGGGGCTAGAATTCCAAGTTTGATAACAAACCAGGTAATTCTTTTCGCAATGAGTCGTTCTAGGCCTTTGCCAAGACATGACAGTAGCGATATTGGTCTGTAGGCCCTGGGATTGGAGTAGTCTTTCTTTCCTGGTTTTGGGATCATCACCACCTCAGCTACTTTGAATGGTTTAGGGTGGTGTCCAATCAGTAGGCAGGTCTGGAAAAGGGCTCTGATATGTTCACCAATGACTGGCCAGCAAGCTTTCAGAATCCGTACTGTGAGGGTATCTACTCCCGGGGAGTTGCTCTTGGTTCCTAAAGTGCACCCTTCAGCCTCTTCCAGTCCGACGTGGTATTCAAGGGGGATGTATGGCTTGGGTTGTATGATCTGAGCGGACCAGGGGTCGATGATATCGTTGTCTGAGGTACTTTGTTCAAGCGTGGCTGAGCGTAATGCATTTGCCTTGCTCTCTTGTGACTCGAATATTTGGTCTCCTATGATGATTGGAGGGGAACGCAATCCTGCTGATAACTTGTGCCAAGAGACGATTCTGTATAGGTCCTTTGGCTCAGTTGCTGAATTGATTAGAGTCTGCCAGTACTCTCTCCTAGCTTTCCGAACCACGCCGCGAAATTCCCGTCGGGCTGAATTCCGTCCTTCGTGGCTTGTAGTCTGTTTGGAAAGGGCCCTGTATGTCTGAACAGCTGCTTTGCAGTCATCATTCCACCAAGCAGTGGGCCTAGATTGACGGGGCCTCTTGCCCACTGTCCTAATACAGCCTTGGATCATGTTGATCAGGCTTTGTGTAAAGGTGTCCACCTGGCCAGGGGATGCACCCAGCTGGGGGAGTTCATGAATCCTGGTTTGGACATTATCTGCCAGCTCCTGTAGTTTATCGTCCGGTACTATCCAATGATTGGCCTTGGGTACTCGGTCCAGATCTCCCTGGATTGGAATGACTATTCGTAATGTCTCATGGTCTGAGGTGCACTGAAGTGCATCATTGACTGAGGCTTCAGCCATGGGGACATCAGAGAACACCAGATCTAGTACATTTCCGTCATCATGTGTCGGGACATCTGGTTCAGAAATCAGATCCAGTCCATGGTCTGCCATAGTTTGTGCAAGTATAG